AGTAGGAGAAATAAAGCATTAAAGTAGACGTCATATTTCATCATATCATCTGCTTTATTAACTAAACATAGTACTGGCAGAAATGTAATATTAATAGCATAAAAGAATTCTAATGTCTGTTTTCACTGCTTTCAATATTAAAATGCCCTCTTGGACAGAGGGAGGTTTGCATTATTTACGTACATGCTGTAGAGAACACTATAATAAGAACAATATACTGATACTAAGCAGGACTGTGGAACAAATGCAATAACTGCAACTGTGAATGACAATGACATGCCTCTCTACATGTTTCCTATCCTGAGCATGCTAAATAGGCTCAACCTCCCAGCTTCTGACTCAGTATGAAAATAGAAAGAATAGACTTTTTTGTCTTGCCCTACCCCCAAAGCACATTTGAAGCACTCTTTGTCAAAGCGGTAGATGGGAGAGAGTATCTCAAAGAACTTGTGGATGCTCTGCTCGTCGTTGAGGTTAGCAAACTGCTTAAAGGTCTGCTGGATCTGCTTACGAAGAGTCTTGGCCTAATAGAGAGTTGGGAAGAGGGAGAAACAACATTTCCAAGGGTTAAGCAGAAAAAGCTGGTTCAGAGCCAAGAAACGTACAAGAGACGACTAACAAGGCACACTGTGAGTGACAACAGGAGGTTTAACTTAATTCCAGACAATCAGATTATCAGACATTCAGCCAGACATCCACTCAGTCATCAAGTTGGTCTCCTTGCCCGTCGCTCAGTCAAACAGCCATTAGCTCATTCAGCGGACTAAGCGGTACTAGGTATACCAAAGAAATTTCTGCCACTGACACTTCTGTTATCTGGTAATACAACTTAAATGGAAGACCCTGGCCAGTTAGTCACGAAGATGAAAGTCTCTGATTTTGTTTCTACATGAACAGAGGTTTAGCCTCACCTTAAGGGAGTCCAGCAGACTTTTGGGGAAAAACCTTCTCAGACCAACGTCTTTCCTAAAAACAACAGCATTACAACATTTATCTATGAGTAGTTGAAATGTATTTGGTAAGATACTTCAGATCTAAATGAGAGGGAATATGATACAAATAAAATCAATCTTACTCTAGTAGTTCATAATTAGATTTCTTATCCAGGGCGTTTCCTGGCATCTCTCTGAAGAACCTCCTGTATGATTCACAAACAGAAGATACAGTTTGTAGACACAGTATTAAATGTTCATCAATAGATTTTTTTTAGTTCAGATATTCTGGAAAACTTCTCTGTATAAGCAATGACTTATGGACAAGAACCTGTTTGAGGCAAACATAATAATCATGGTTGTGGTATAAGAACTAATGTGTGTGCATTTCTCACCTAATTTCCAAACAGCCCAGTTTCAAAGCAACATCTTGATCCACCTGATCAGCTATATGTTGCATGTAGTCACTCTTGACCTGGGGAAATACAGTGTAGCAGCACAGTTAGTTAAAGTAAGTTAAAAGCTTAAAGCATTAAAGTTAAAAGCATTAAATTAGGTCAGTTAGGTATTGTTTTAATGATCTGTTAAGGCATGTCTACCTTATTGAACTTAAAAACAACAGGGAGGAAGTGACAGAGCAGACAATGTATGACGGAATAGGTTCAATGAAATCATAGATATCATTTAAAAAATTACATTAAATAAAATTAGGTTATTTAGTTATTTCACAAGGAGGGCTCCTTTCTGTCTGCTTCTTATTGTATGGTCTTGCTGTGTTGCCTCACCTGATGGTAGAGGTAGTTAAGAGAGGGTTTGTCTTCAGAAAAATGGCTGAGGTAACCTTTAGGTAGGTACCGCATCCGCAACTCATACCTGAGAATGACAGAGACAATTCGGCTGAATAACCACCGTCAGTGCACACACCCACACACAGAATTAAATAACCTGTAGAATCCAGATTCAGTGCCTGTCTGAGGACAGAAGGAGGTTGCTTACTCATACATACAGCTGACGCACACACAGACCTCAATACATTTTTAAAGCCCTCACTCTGGCCCAATTTGAGATATACTAGAGAATGAAAGGCCATCTCAATATTCACAAATAGATAGTTTGTAATTAAAGAATATGGTTTTGGTCAATACAACCTGGATCCTCATTTATATAAATAATAATTCAAAATGGCAAATATTACAATGTCACAAAAAATTCAACAATTCAAGGCTTGGGAATTTCAAAATCTATTTTAGAGATAATGGAAAAATATTTACACATATGCTGTATGTTGTATTTCATGAAAAGGTTTAAATAACACCTCTACTACTCTTGTGCTTGCTTAATGCAGTATTTTCTGTATTCCTCTTGCTCTACCTTCAAAGGGGGGTTGAACTATATATTAATATATAATAGCACCAATGGAGCAGCAGAATCTGTGTCTAAAGTCACCTCAGCAGGGTGGCTTGAAGCAAAGTCTTGAAGTTGGAAGATGCCCTTTCTACTCACCATATGACCGCCTGATGACACAGTAAGACAGGATTTCATATTTTGCTGACAGTCAACTTTACTGAGAGAGTGATAACCTTGTAATACAATAAAGCATAATGAGATTCCAGCTGTTACACTTGCCAGTTAACCGTGTCACAGAAGTACACAGATGGCCCATCATTGTTTATAGTGACATATTACTTTATGACTGACATATTGCAGTGACTACAGTGGTGTAGAAATGGGTCAGGAGAGTAGTGCGCTCCAAGCTATTGCGATGCTACAGGCTCGTAGTTAGTTAACAAAGGAAATCAAGGTTGAAGACAAAATGAATAAAACATCCTCGTTCTATAATGAATGAACCAAAAAGAGAGTGTGAGAAGAGGGAAAATGATGCGTGTTTGAGAGAAAAGAGAGAGCTGGATAAGAAAGAAAACAGATGTGAGAGATGAGAGAAAGAAGGATGGAGAGAAAGATCAAAGTGAAAAAGATCGACTGCGAGCGCACGAGACAGAATGAGAAAAAGCACGCGAGGGAGCGAGAGAGGAGTAAGATAGAGTCAGTCCATCCCCTGGGCTACTTCTGCTGTTCTAACAATAGCATGGCAGCAGCAGAAGCTCCTGTGGGCTCGCAGCTCTACCGCCCTCCGAGGCAGAGCTGCAACAACTGGCAGGGCTGCTCCGTGATAACAGTGTGGACAACTCGTTCATTTTGAATTCATTTCAATTTTAATGACTTTGGGTCTAACACATCAACTGCAGGACAATGGACTGAATTGTAAGGAGAGCTGTTAACAATATCAACTGCAGATGGCTAAGTGCCAGCACAG